GCCATGGAGGGCAGCAAGAGGGAGAAGACGGAATGAAGAGGAGGACAGGGGGGTAGTAGGATGGGGGCTGGGCGGAGGAAGAGGAGCAAGAGGAATAGCGATCATACGGAAGAGGAGGACGAAAAGTAGGGGAATGGGTATGGGGAAGACAGGTAACGGTAGGAGGCGGAAGGGGGAATAGGGAGTAGGATGATGAGGGTCGATATGTTGCAGGACGCCACGCCACCTGCTGCGGCAGCGCCCGCTTGTCGCGCCGCTTGGCGTTCCCCGCCCTGCAGGGCCGAGGCGGGGGCGGCGCCGCGGGGTCCAGCCCGAGCGCCGCGAGGTCCATCGGGCGGCGCGCGGCGGTCGCAAAATGCGCCCGCGGCCCGCGCCGCGCGCCCCGACGGAGCCAGAGCAGGCGGTGAAGGGGGTGCGACGAGGGACGACGCCGAACGAAGACGAACGACGACGACGACGACGTCGACGACGACGACGACAAACGACGAGTGCGACGACGACGACGACGAAACGACGGACGACGGAGAACGGAAGACGACGACGACGACGACGACGACGACGGAGACGACAACGACGACGACGACGACGACGAAGGACGACGGGCGACGACGACGGACGACGACGGATGACGACGACGGACGACGACGACGACGACGACGACGACGACGACAACGACGACGACGACGACGACGACGGACGACGACGACGACGCACAACGACAACTGCGACGACCAACGACGACGACGTCGACGAGGCCCTTTAAAGGAATTTACCGAAATATCCCAAGAATGCCCAAGACGAACAACAACAGAATCCGATATGAAATGTGATTGTTTTTGCTATACTTTGCATACAACAAAAGCAACAAACTGTCTGAAACGCCACGCCTCGACCCGCCCAGAGCCTCCGAGGCTCTGGGCGGGTTCCAACAACAAAAACAACAATAATACTCAAAATAAACAAAACCAGAATCCGATATGAAAAATTAGTGTTTTTGCTATACTCTGCAAACAACAAAAACACCATAGTGTCTTAAACGACGACGACGACGACGACAACGACGGACGACAAACGACGGACGACGGACGACGACGGCCACCTCCTCCTCCTCCTTTCCACTTCGTCCTCCTCCTCCTCCTCCTCTTCCTCCTCCTCCTCCTCCTCCCCCTCCTCCTCCTCCCCCTCTCCCTTGGCATTTGGGATATGTCATCACTGTCGCGCCACCATGTGCGTCGTTGGGGCGGGCCGGGCGGGCGGCGGGCGGGCGTTTTGCCTGGGACTTGCCATCGGGGCCCCGAGGCTCTGGGCAACTGTTTCAAAGGATTCCAACAAAACCCGCTGATAATGTTGGAACCGTGCGTTGACAAATCCAGGCTATATATATACATATATACATATATATACAAAACAAAAAGCAAAACACACAAAAAATGCGGTCCCCCCACCCAGAGCCGGTAGTGGCGACGGTAAAGTTCAACCAACGGGCGCCAGAAGTTTGGCCGGAACGGAGAAACTAAAACGCTTAAGATGCATATCGGCCGACTGGCTCGGTGCGTTCACCGCGCACCGTTTTCAATGATTCTTCGTTGGATCCATATCGGATGGCTCACTCGGATTCAGTGGGCAACTGTGCGCGTTGGATTTCCAAAACATCAAAATCGGATTGCCATTCTGCGGGGCATGTGCCATGATTCTAGCGCAAGAATCCCACGTTGGCAAAACGCGCAAGGACCACCCCCCGAAACGCAAGTTCTGGTACCTGGAGGGGCCCAGTGTCCCCGCGAAGGCGGTCTTCTATAAAGACGGCCCAAGAGCCCCCAAAGATCGCGGAAAGATCGCCCAAGAGGCCTCCAAGACGGCCAAGATGACCTTCAAGATGCCCACGTGTTCCCCAAAGGCTTTCCAACCCGATTCGGGGAACACGCGGTCCGATGGCTTGGCAGGTCTGGCCTCAACGTTCGGCCACATAGGCGCTTCCAAAAAGGCAGTGGGCGGTGGTGGTTCGCCGTAGGCGTCTTCGATACAATGACGATTGGGCCATCTGGACTGGGCGAACGAGACCGGGCGAAACGGACCTGGCGAGACGGACCTAACGAACGCGACTGGGCGAACACGACCGGGCGAACGCGACTGGGCGAAACCGACTGGGCGAAACCGACTTGGCGAAACCGACCGGGCGAAACCGACTGGGCGAAACCGACCCAGTGAACGCGACCGGGCGAACGCGACTGGGCGATCGCGACTGGGCGAACACGACTAGGCGAACGCGACTGGGCGAACACGATCGGGCGAACTTGACTGGGCATACCCGACGGTCAGCTTTCGTACGGTCGGGCTCGCCGCTCATGTTTACTCTTTCGTCCTGAAGCCATCAAACTTCTCTCGGCCGCGGCATCTTCCTGCTCGACCACCGTTTTTCCCTGGCTCGCCTTCAACTTAATCTATCCTACCGTCGGGGGCCCTCTCCAGTCTCGGATTCGGCTCTGTTTTTTCCTCAGACCTTGCGTACAAGGGGGGGGCCTTCAGAAGCTACTACCCCCCTCCCTTTACGACGCAGGGGGTCGCTGGTCAAGCTGACAACCCTTTCCCTCCTTTCGGGGCTGGGGGTAAATGGCGGCGCACCCGGGGGGGGGTGAGAGGGGGCGGGCCTTCTCATAAGGCTCGGAAGTCCCCAGATCTTCTGAACAATGTTCTGAGCCTTCGCCGGAGATACCGAAAACTTCTCAGAAGGCCCGAGGACTTCCGAGAAGCCCAGCCGCCTTCTGAGAAGGCCTGCTCCTTCTCACTTCCCCCTGCGCTCGCCGCCGATGTAAGCCCGGGCTCGCCTTTGCAAGGGGAGGGGGCTTCCCCCCCGTCCTCCCCTTTTAGTGGATCTGCGCCAAGTCTCGTCGTCGTCGTCGTCGTCGTCGCGGTCATCATCGTAATCGTTGCCGTTCTCGTCGTCATGCTTCTCGTCGTCGTCGCTGTCGCCTCAGTCGTCGCCGCTGTCGTCGTCATCGTCCTCGTCGTCGCCATTATCGTCGTCGCGCAGTGTCCCCACTGTGCAACAACATGATACGTACCAACAGTTTCCGCTTTCTGCGTTGCCTTTCGCATACCTGCATTGCCACCTCACAAAAAGTAAATTTGTAATTACTTGCTCCGCCTCCTTGCTTTGCCACGCAACGAGTAGAGTATAATATTATGATTTCGCCCCCCAGGCTCTGCCATGTGACGTGCAGAGCAGGGTAGAATTGGTTTGCACCCCCATGCGCTGCCACTTGACAAGCAGAGTAGCCCAGGAGGCCTACCTTATCCTAACGATTACGCAAAGGTTCTTGTAACTTCTTGGATACAGACTGCTAAGGACTCCGAAGCTTCCTGGCGGACCTTCCGCCCAGGCATTGCCGTGCAACGATTATAATCGAATGCTATTGCTTCGGCCTGGGGAGGTCCATGGGAGGGAGGTGGGCCGAAAAAGGGCTTCCGACTGCAATGGAGGACGACGAGGACAGGCTGACGAGGGAAGGGCAGGAATGAAAACAACGCCGACAGCAATGACGAGAAGAGTTCAGCTGGAACGAAAACGTCTGGGCGAAAGAGCCTGGGTGAAACCGCTCGGGGGAAACAGTGGGGGCGAAATTGATCGGGCGAAACTGACCAGGCCACCAACGAAGTCGTCTGGGCGAAAACTACTGGAAAAAACGGACCAGGCGAAATCGATTGAACGAAACCGACCAGGCGAAACTGGCCAAACAAAAACGACCAAGCGAAAACGACCAGGCTGGGCGAAACGCGCCAGGCGAAAACAACTGGGCGGAAACGACTGGAAAAAACGCCTGGGCGCAAACGACTGACCGGGCGAACACGACCGGGCGGAAACGACTGGATGAAAACGACCAGGAGAAAATAACCAGGCGAGAACGACCAGGCGAAAACGATCAGGCGAAAAACGACCTGACGAGATCGACCTGGCGAAAACAACAAGGCGAAACCGTTTGGCTGAAACTGCGTTTGCACAACCTCTCCGACGAAACCGCCTGAGCAAAACAGACCGGGCAGACTGGACCCAGCGAATCGGACCGGACCGAACCGACCAAACGAAAACGACATAATGCAAACACCTCCGGGGCAAAACCGGCGCTAAGCGAAAAAGACCTGGCACACCCGCGAAGCCCGCACTGAGCGAAACACGACCTTGTCATACATTCCGTTAGCTGTGAGACATACTGTCTTCTGCCTACCGCTCGCTACTGACTGCAATTCGCTCTTGTTTTCGTGGCAGGCGAACCATGACTCGCGAGAGATCTTTGCACCGAGAGCTTCCTGCTTGTGCTCTGATGAACTTCCCGCTGCCACCTGGACTCCCATCGGTACCTATGATCGGAAGCTGGGCGAGGGCTGCTAAAACCGTGGCTGCTAAAACGGCCCTCCCGGAAGGAAAAAACAACTTCCCGGAATGAGGCGCGGCACGCGAAACAATCAACGGGCTTCTTCCCGGAAGGACGAAGACAACTTCCCGGAGGTCGATTTTAGCAGCCACGGATTAGCAGCCCTTGCCCGGCTTCCGATATGAATTCCACGAAGGGTTCCCACCAAGTGGCCCTTGGATTACTGCGGGTTCCTGGTGATCCCCACGGCATCCCCCCTGCTGGCCCTGTGTGCCGCACCTTTGGGTGGCCGATCGGACTCCTTTCGGCTCCCGTGAAGTCCCGTAGCTCCCGCTCGCCGGCGATGTGTACCGCACTTTATGCTGGCACCTTCGATTTCTGTGTGTTCCCGTGGATCTATGGCTTCCCCCCCACTGGCCACTGATGGCCAACATTCGTGCACGCTTAGATTGCACTGCGTAGAGCCCACCGCATAGATTGCCCTCCACAGGATGCACACCATATTTCGCACAGCGTAGGATTGCACTCCATATACTGCGCCGCGTACATTGCACGCCATATTGGAAACAATAGACTGCATCACGCATACTGAGCAGAGTCACTGGTCAGATCAACGCGTTGGCATCATGTTCTGAGTGCCATTTTTGGATCGATCATGCTTCTTCGTGCCAGCCGAGCTTCTACCATGCCCTTCACGTTGCCTGCTCAACGATCCCGAAACTTGCCTCCACCATCAGGCTTTGGAAGCATCGTACGGTCTTAACATCAATCAAGCACGCGGCAACTCATTGGCAACAAGCAGAAGCGGGGACAAGCCTCAAACGGGCCAACGACCTCGCCGAAGATGACACCGCAAGGCCGATGCGCGCTTTTCGAGCGCGCCGGTCAAGCACGGTGATTCCTCTCACTTCATGGTGAGCTTGGTCTCATTAGCTTCCATCTTGCACCGGCTGTCCGCACACCGGCCAATCAGGCCGAAATGCTCCTCGCGACCGCGTCGCAAGCAGCTGAGGCATGGACAGAAAGGAGCATACACACAAGGAGGAAGGAATGGCAGGAGAAAAGAAAAGAGAGAGAGAGAGAGGGCAAGCATCGTCTTCGCATGTGTTCTCGTGCTCGTCGCCGCCATCGTCGTCCTTGTCTGGCTCGCCATCGGTGGAGGCAAATTGGTACAGACGCCCAAGGGCCGCCTGGGCCAATCGAACAAACTCCGCCATGGGAGCGTGGAGGGCCAAGGGGAAGATGAAGATATTCCTCCTCCAAATGCTGCGGCGCCTCCCCAGTGCACGTGGAAGCCTCCGCCTCCACGCATACAGGAGTATGTATGTATGTATGTTTGTATGTATGTCTGTTTGTATGTATGCACAGATGTGTGTATGTATGTATGTATGTATGTATGTATGTATGCATGCATGCATGCAGGGAGGTAGGTAGGTAGGTAGGTAGGTAGGTAGGCATGTAGGTAGGTAGGTAGGTAGGTAGGTAGGTAGGTAGGTAGGTAGGTAGGTAGGTAGGTAGGTATGTAGGTATATTTATACAACTGATTACGTCTATGGCTATGCTTATGCTTATGTTCATGCGTATGCCTGTGTATGTATACGAATAGATGCACCATACCCTGAGGCACGGGTTGGACTGTCCTCAGGGCCGAGTTCTATGGTGCATTGTAAAGATTATCTAAGTGGCCGAAGGCCCAACATTCCAAATATTCTGGGCGCTCTTTCGCGCTCCTGGGGTTCCCCGCGTGACTTTTCCAGAATCCAGAGGGCCCCGCGAAGGACCAACGGGGGCCCCAAGAAGCGTCCAGGAGGGCCTCAGAGGCCTCCGAGGCTGCCCAAGACCACTTCAAGCAATCAAGATGGCCCACTGACGGCCCAATAAGCACCCAAGGCGCTCATAGAGGGCTCCAGGAGGCCCTCCAAGAGAGCCCCGCGATGCCAAGAACATTGATGTTTCTTTGGGATGCTGCAGAGATTTCAATGTTCTCGCCTTGTCGCGCTGTCGACGCTCCAAGAGGCACCCAAGATCGCCCCAAAACGGCCCAAGAGGCTCGCAAGAACGCCCCCAGACGGCCCAACATGGCGCCAAAACGGCCCCATGAGGGGCCGAAGAGAGGTCCCAGAGGGGCAAGAGGAATCTACATATTCGAGCCCTTCGCCCCAAAATGGCCCCCAAGACCGCCAGCAAACCCCAAGAGGCCCCCGCAAGCCTCAGGAAGTCCAAATCATGCCCCAAGAGGACCCCGAGAGACCCCCGCGAGGCCCCCAAGACGCTTCAAAACCAGATCCAAAAACCTTCCGGAAAAAAGGCCTCCCAGGAACTCCCCACACGCATGCCGGAGGCCTCTGACGTACAACCCAAGCACGGTGGCGGGATGGACCGACGGCCAGTCGATCACTACGGATGTACACACACGCACTAACCGTGAGCACACACACAGACACCTACACACATGAATACATACACATATATAAAGATATACATACATACGCACATAACACGCACACAATCGTACATATTCGCGGACAGGCGTACGTACACATACATACACTTACATTTTTACCTACACATGAACATGCACACATACACACATACATACATATACATTTGCATACATACAAACGCTCATCATTGACAATAAACATACAACATACATACATACATGCATGCAGACACACAAAAACACACATACATACGTACGTAGTTACGTACGTACATACATACACGCCTACATACATCCACATACACACATACGCATACACACGTACACACACATACACGTACATGCGTACACATGTGTATATATATATATATGTATATATATGTATGAGAGAGAGAAAGAGAGAGAGAGAGAGAGAGAGAGAGAGAGAGAGAGATAGAGAGAGAGAGAGAGAGCCTGACCCACCGCCACTTTCTGGTGCAAATGTCCTTCACGATCTCTCCACATTCCTCTATCGGAGAAGAGCTGAAGTGCCAGCGGCCCAACGCGTGAGGCGGAAACGAATGGGCGCAAGCCAACCCAGATAGCCACGGTTGGCCGATGCCCTCACGCGACGCACCACCTGTTCCCTCGGCGGTGTTCTGGGGGGGGGTGGAGGGCAAATGCGCACAAACAAACACGCAACATCAATAACGCTAAGTGCATTTGTACCTGGATGAGACTCACGCAACATCAACAACGCGACGGGCAAGTGCACCTGGAGAGACTCGCCCCGCGCTTTTCCCCCCACGCCAATCAAGATTGTATGGCTGGGACATACTCCTTCGCGATCTCTCCGCATTCCTCAATCAGAAGAAAGCTGAAGTGCCAACGGCCCAACCCAGAAGCCCAAATTCCTACGATATGGCATGGCGATGGCGGAGGACAGCGACAGAGAAGAGGGATGGCATGAGGCATATTTGCTCCTGCCTCCTCTCCGATTCGGAGTGATCAATCACCAAGCGCGAAATCGCTGCCTCTTCTAACTGGCTCGTGCGCGAGTATCGCGCGAAAACTGCGCTCCGCCAGTCTCCCGCCTGGGGGGGCATGGGCGAACTTTCCCCGGCGTCCAGAATATCTCTTGCCATCCCCCTTCCGAAGGCAATGGGTGCCCAATGAGCCGCCGTCAGGGCCGCCCGCTGCAGTGGCGTGCCTTCGGGGGTCATTCACGAACTGACCTCGGGTCTGGGTGAACATCGAATTTCGCCTTTCCGTTGCAGCCGCAGTCAGCGCCTTCTTCATCCAGTGGTAGGCGCACAGCAAGCGCTCCGAAGAAGCGCGGCAGCGCGTCCGACGGAGCGCGGTGGGCGCACGAGGGTGTTAGCGCTCGTCGCAAGCGCCGATTTCCCCGCAGCGCAGGAGGCCGCAGAGTGCCCACCGTGGATCTGGAGAGGGATGGCCTCTGACGGCGCCCGCCCCGCATCAAGAGCGGGCGACTCACGGCGATCAGCGCGGCTCGCTCGATATCGAATCCTCGCGCAGGGCGCCCGCGCGGCCGAGCGCGGCCTGGGGGCCGGGGCAGCCTTCCGGACCCCGCGCGGGAACTACTGCAGCGCGCTGGTGCCCCAGCCATTTGGCATGCGAGGAAAACGGTGCACCCGCCTGAGATGTTTCGGGTATGCGCTGAATGTGTGACAACGAGCAAACGCGCTTGCGATGCCCAACGCTGCTTCTTCCGAGGCGGGGGAGTGGGGCCGAATAGGCAGCGTCGCAATATGCCACCAGCACCTGATGCCGCTCATGTACGTTGGAATGGATTATTTGATTGCCTGTATCATGAATGTTTGCGCTTGTTCGGCCAAGATGTCCAGTGCGCTCTGGGGCGCTGCGCTCAGAACAAATCCTCTCACGGGCGCCTCCTGCCGCAATCAGGTCCCCCGGGCCAATCTCGGCCATGCGGCTCGCAAACTTCGCCCTATTGAGAAAGGCTGCAACCTGGCCCTCCGCGAATAATTCACCCGAGCAGCGGGCCGCCGCCCGACCCGTGCATTCAGTGTCTGGAAGAGAGAATATCCTCTGGAGCCACCAATCGCAAGTGTGCCCCACTTTGGGGCTGCTGATCCTCGCGGGGCGCACTGGCCCGCCGCCGCGCCCTGTCCGGTTCTGACCGCGTGCCGAACCAAGGAAGGCCTCCGCAGGATCGAGGGGAACGTCGTCCTCAATCGTCGCCTGGTCCTGCGCTGCCGCAGGCAATGGGGCCGGGCGGGGGGCCCCATCCGCGCTGGGTTCCCGCCGCGGTGCGAGCGCCCCGCCTCGGCGATGCCGCCCCAGGGCGCGGCGCGGGGCCTGCTGCATCCGACGCCGCTCCGAGCTGGTGAGGTATCCTCGCCTCCACCCGCTCGTGCTCTCCACCTCCGCGCCGTCCCATTGCTCCTCGCGCAACATCAGCAATGTGTCCTGAGGTACGCGGCGCGCCGCGACCCCACCTCGCGGGCCCCCTGGGGGGCCTCGTAGAGAAGCCTGTTCAGCCAGTCGATCGGGTAGTGACCATATTGTCGAATGGGGGTGGATGCCGCGTTACCTCGCTAGAAGGCGCCTGGGCCTGCACCCCCCTCGCATCTCCGCCGCTCCCACGGACGTCGAGTCCCGCGCATTCCCCCATTAGAATGAACCAGTGGCTCGGCGGGGTCTGGTCAGCGCCTGCGCCCCCGATGGGGCAGACCTTCAGGAGGAGCGGTTTTTGCAGCTACCCGCGGCGTGCGATGCGGTCCTCGGCCGCCCCCCGCCCCCTCGAGCGCGAGCGATCCACCCCTCGCGCCTCCGCGGGCCGCGTCCGTCGGGGTTGTGGGCCCGACGTGGGCGCCACGGGGTTCGGGAGTGCGGGGGGCCCGATGCTCTCCCCCAGGGGGCGCAGGCCCGGGTGGCGCTGGCACCATCGTCGTGCCCGCGGGCCCCCCGGCCGCGGCTGGCGCCTCGACCGTCGGGGGGCCTTCGGCCGCGCGCGGCCCAGTCGCGCGCCGCGGCTGGGCCAACGCCTCGACGTCGCATGCGCCTCCTGAGCCCGCCGACGGGGCCCGGCTGGACGGTGGTCTCGACCCTGACTACTGTTGCTGCGTCCAATCGCAGATGTTCCGCGCGCGTCGGCGCGCCGCCGCAGCTTCCCTTCGCCGCCCGGGCAGGCGAGTAGGCTGCGCTTTCGGCCCACCAGGGTCGAGCGGCACCTCTGCGCATGGTGGGCGCAGAGGTGCGCCTGGGCGGGGGGGCCTTGCCCTGGCCGCTGCGCGTCTGCTACAGACGGTCGGCTGCTGGCCGGCGGGCGCTGAATCGGCGACGACGAGCCTCGTCGAGACCGCGGCGCGCGCAGTCGCCACCAGGTGGTCCGCCCAGGAATCCCCCCTCCTCATGTGCGTGATGTAAGCGCTCAGGTCGGGGAACTGAGCTCTGTTGAGCGCGTTCTCGAACGTACTGGGGGGGCTCGCGATCCAGTTCATGGCTGGGGGCGACGTCTTACATGCGCAAGGGCCGCGAGGGGGCGGCGAGCGTCGAACCCCGCCCCCTGGGCGCCC